TGTCCCTGTGTGCCACATCTGCACATCTTTTAAGTACCTCCAGGGATGTGACTCAACTACTTCCCCGGGCAGCCTGTTCCAATGCTTGGTAACCCTTTTGGTTATAGCCAATCTAAACCTCCCTGGAGCAAGCTGAAGCCATTTCCTCCCATCCTATTGCTTGTTACTTGGGACAAGAGACTGACACTCACCTCACTGCAACCTCTTTTTCAGGTAGTTGTAGAAAGCAATACGGTCTCCCTTGAGCCTTCTCTTCTCCAGACTAAACAATCCCAGTTCTCTCAGCCACTCCTCACAGGACTTGTACTCTAGACCCTTCACCAGCTTTGCTCTTTTTTGGACACAGGTCCTGAAGTGTGCTGTTCTCTGTAACTCCTGTTGCTTCTTGCTTGAAAGGATGAAGTTTCTACTCATAGTGAAGGCCCTACATACTGGATCTAGTTGCTAGATTAAAAAAAAAAAATAGAAGTTGTGGAGAAACTATATGTTTATTGAGTCACAATGTATGTCTGTGTTCACAACTGAGCAGCACTATGTTCCAGTACCCTCATTGCTGTGCAAGTGTAGTTTAGGCAGCAATTATGCTTTTAGTTAAAGGATAGCTTTTTCTTCAGATGGATGTCTAAGAAAATTGCAGCTTAGTTAATTCGCTTATAAGGAACAAATGTGGCTGATCTGGAGTCAGTGTTATATTTCTCTGAACTTTTTAGCTTGTAAAATTTCAGGTGATGCGATTCTCTTCAGCAGCTGAAGTGTACACTGTTGAATTTGAGTGAATAAATAATCTGGACTAGAACCAGTGCACTGAATATGTTGGTTTATGACAGCAGCAGAGGTGCATTTGTGTTTTCATACCATTCGAAACAGTCTGACAGATGCATAGCTGGTGCAGCTGTATTTCCCTTGAGAGACTGATGGGCCCCTCTCAGTCCCCATGCAAAGGACTGCGTCTTGAAAGGTTGGCACGTTTCTGACAGGCCTCTGCATGTTCAGTGCTCATGGTAGTTCTTGGTTGGGCTCCAATATCCACAATGTAGCTTTTATGCTTTTTATTTTTGGTGCGTTTGCTGTCAGGAAAAACTGTGCTATTTGAATGTTCTATAAGGAATGCGAGTTGGCTGGATAAATGGACTTCTCTGCTTTAGTGTGGTTGTTGCCTCCTTTTCTTCACTAAGTCTCTGTTCAATTTTTCTTTCTGTGAAGGCAGCTGAACGATTAAATTGTAATGCTTTTGGCAAGAGAAATATAATTTCTGCTTAATACTATTGCTTATGCTAGTGGTTTATGAATCTGGCACTAAGTTATCACTTCTCATTATTATGGGCCTTTAATGTTCTGTGACTTTATTTTTGCTTTTATGCTAAAATCTAGGCTAGCAACTTATCTCTGATAAATTACTATTTGGGGATTTGGGAATTTCAAGATGTTGACTATAGTATACAATGAATTTTGCAAACATAAACACTGTAGACTCAAATGTTTCTTGGATAATTTCCATAGTTAGCTTTTCTCTTCTTTAGTCACAGTGACCTTAAGTTTGGGAGGGTCATGGATTTTGTAGGGCTTGAGATAAATGCTTTCAGAAAGTCAGGTGGAATATCTGTATCACTGGTCCAGTTTTGGATTGCTGAAGGATGATGTGCAAACCAGCATTTGACATTTGGCCTAATGCCACATCATCCAGTCATGTAGTAGACTGGAACAAATGGGGTGCTCAGGACAAGTAGTCCTTAAAATGCTGCACAGATGCTGCTGTTGCAGTTTTCTCCTTCCTGTCATTCTGCCTGTCTGCTGCATTGGTCATCCTTGGTTGTGTTCTTGGTTTTTTGTTCTTGGTTCCCCCACCCCGGCTTTCCTACCGTCTAAAGCAGAAAGCAACCCAGAATTTAGTTTATGGTAGAAATGCTAGTTCTATTTTTTTTTTTGTTTTATTTCAAACTTTAGTATACTAAAATAGGCAGACAGGAAGTGACCTCTGAATATCAACTAGTTCACACCTCTGCTCAGAATGGGGCCATCTCCAAAGTTAGATCAGTTAGGTTGCTGTATCCATAGAGTTTTGCACATCTTCAGAAATGGAGATTCTCTAACCGCTCTGAACAACTTGTTCCTTCTTCACTGTGAAAAATCTCTTATCTATAATTCTTAGAGTTTTCTGTGTTACAACTTGTCTCCAAGAGAAGAATCTTTGTCTTCTCTGTATTTGCCTACAAGACGGCTAAAACCCAATAAAATCCCCTTTTAGTCTTTTCTCATTAAAACCATCTAGCTCTTTTAAATTCTTCTTAAGTCGTGTGCTGCAGATCTCTAATCTTCTTCATGGCACTCTGCTGGACATGCTTCAGGATATCCATGAGAAGGTCAGACTGGATACAGCACTTCAGATGTGGTCTCACAAGTGCGAGGTAAAGCATATTAATCACTTCCCTTTGTCTGCTGGCTGTGAGCTTGTCAACAGAGGTAACGTGCAGGTAGCCTTCACTGCCATGTAGTGCTGATTGTATTAAAATACTGTATTACCTATTAATTTGACTCTAGATAAGACAACATCTAATTTAAAATATACATGTTTATCCTATTTTAATAATATATTTTATAATATTTATAATAATATTTTAATATGCATATTCTTTTTAGAGGCTATGGAAATCACGATCTGGTTGTAAACCATTTAGAAATGCATGTCTGGCTGCCTATAACGGTATATAACCTAGAATTAACTAGGTTGAAAAAGACCTTTAAGATCATCAAGTCCAACCATTACCCCAGGACTGCCAAGTCCACCACTAAACCATGTCACGACCTCATTTGAACAATTCCAGGCACAGTGATTCCACTACTGCCCTGGGCAGTATGTTCCAATACCTGATCACCCTTTCGCTGAAGAAATTTTTCATAATATCCAGTCTAAACCTCTCCTGGCACAGCCTGAGGCCATTTCCTCTTGTCCTGTCACTTGTTACCTGGGAAAAGAGACCAGCCACCTCTTTTCTCCATCCTCCTTTCACGTAGTTGTAGAGAGCAATAGGGTCCCCCCTTGAGCCTTGTACTCTCCAGACTAAACAACCCCAGTTCCCTCAGCCTTTCCTCATAATGATATGATAACTAAGCTACAAGACTAGTGAAGTGTTTACAACAAACCTGAAGGATGGCTAAATGAATTGGCTGTTCCACACTTGAACAGAGCATATCGTAGTTTTATTATTAGAGTGAAAATGATGTTAATGGAGGTGTTGCAGAAAAAAAATACTTCACAAAATGCACGCCAAGGTGAGAAAATCTGGGGAAAAAAAAGAGAACAGTCTTTGACAAGATCCTCTGCAGTTTTCTTTACCTTTCACAGAGGTGGTGGGCAAGCAGATAAGGAAAAGGCATGTATTGTCAAAATAGACAAAGGCAAAGCTAAGGAGAAAGGAAAGAAATGGAGAACAAAGGACAGCTAAAAACTGAGAAAGAAGTGAACAGAGCAGGCTGAAGATTGTTTAATAAATAAATTACAATGGTTAATGGGAGGGCGAGGATATAATGGAGGGGAGAAATGATACAGGGTTGTTAGTAATCTAATACGCACATAAAAAAAAATCCTGGTATGTGTAAAGAGAAAACTGAAGACACTGAACTGGTAGCAGAAGTAAGGGAGAAAAAAATAGAGAAAAGTGCATGTCCTTTACCCAATTAAATTTAATTCAGGAATAGGTAAAGCCTATTGTAAACCAGTTGAAACTGCACTTTTATGCCTTCTCTCTTGCCTTTGTCAAAGGCATGACATATAGAATGAGCATTCTTTGACTTAGTGAATGCCATTTTTAAAAGCATCAGATGCAAATTTTGTAATGTGAATGTGAAGAAGCTGCTGTAATAGCAGAGTAAAAATACCTGAGCCCTGGTTCTCTGTGTCTTTTCTGATTTATGTTGGTTAGTTGAAAGCAACTGCAAATGTCTCATCTCTTTTGGACCAAGAATCAGTAAGGGAGGGAAGTCAGGGATTATTAGATGTCTCTTCCCTTTGGGAATATGTTTTTATCAAGTTTCCAGATAATGTAGTTACTTCCATAAACCAAAATCTTGAAGTCTTTGTAGCAGCAGTGCTGGAGTTTAAAATTTGAAGTACTCCTCATGCTGCATTCATCCACTTATGGGGTTAATCCACCTACCAATGTTTTATATTTTTTTGAAAAGAAACAGAATATTTTGCATGAGTTATTTGTATTTAAAATCATATAAAAGTAGCAGAATACAACAAAGACTGTAGTGATAGGACAAGGGGTAACGGGGTAAAACTTAAACAGGGGAAGTTAGGTTGGATATAAGGAGGAAATTCTTTCCTGTTAGGGTGGTGAGGCACTGGAATAGGTTGCCCAGGGAGGTTGTGAATGCTCCATCCCTGGCAGTGTTCAAGACCAGGTTGGACGAGGCCTTGGGTGATACGATTTAGTGTGAGGTGTCCCTGCCCACAGCAGGGGGGTTGGAACTAGATGATCTTAAAGTCCTTTCCAACCCTAACTCTTCTATGATTCTATGAAAATAAGTACTTCTGTAATCAAAGTGTGTTTCATTTCACAACTTTCAGGTATCTAACAGATGGGTGTTATTCTACATTTGACAAATATGTGAATTGGTTATTTCAGTTATTCTTTGACTGGTATTTTTAGAACTGCCCAAAGCTAATTTTAACTTAGGTTGTCTTAGATTTCTGATTTATCATGAAGTTTCTTAAAGAAGAAATGTGACTCTTTTGTGGAGGAGTGTATCGTTGCCTCAAAACTTGGCAGCCACATGGGGTAAGACAATTGTCTGTTTGTTCCCTAGGGAAATAACTTCTAGAAGATAACTGGTTTCTGTGTAGTGTACCCTCCTAAATTAAGTTTTTTCGTTTAGCTTGCCCTGAGGAAAAACGTTTCAGGATATTTTTGGAGATCCTGGTAATCTAATTAATCTTAGTAAAATAATACTAAAATTTGTTATTTCCCTGTAAAGTATATGGTGTTAACCTCCCTTACCTAGCTTCAACCCTGCGCTGTCAATGGTGACTGTCAACTGCACCATTAAAAGGGACAAAGACTGGCTCGGTAGTAGGAGCTGGTTTCTTGTTCCAACAGAAGCAGGGAAGTTGGGGTAGCTGTCCTTGTGGAAAAGGTCTCCCAAGACCTGAGGGCTTTTTGTGAAGAAGAGGTGGATTTGGTTGATGCTGGCAAGTGTTTGCTTCTTGTTGCAGTGGCTAAGGCCATGATTCAGCAGTTGTTTTCAAAACCTGTCAAGGCAAGACAAAGGAACAGAGATTTGCAGTTATTTGGGCTCTATATTGAAGGGTCTCAATAGCCTTTTTGATTCTGAACATCAACAGATGTTTTAAAGTTGGTGTTATGGTGGGGTACTCCTTGTATAATATGTATTATGCTGACACTCTGGGGGATTTTTCGTCTGAAAGTGGAAATACCACGACAGCTGTAATAAAAGCAGTTCAGAACTGCACAAGTAAAGCATGTATGCTTCCTACCTTGCAGATGTATGTTATTTTTGTATACCTCTAGTTTTTATTGAATTCTATTAGTTGTTTGTGTTGATGAGTAAACAGAACTGGCACTGGAATGCAGTTCTTTTCAATAAAGCCATTATTTTGTTTAGTTTTGTTTTTTCCTAAAATCCATTCATATTTCAAGGTACTGGAAGGCAAAATACTTTGATGGCCATCTTTGTAGTATCTATCCCTGAATGAGTGAGGAAGTTAGCACTATATGAAAAAGTGAAGGCAGTGCAGTGAGCTTAGTTTTCCATTTTTATCTGTCATAGATGTAAATAATTCAAATGTGCAAGCATGGAACGAATTTGGCAGTTTCAAACTGTGACTGCCTGAATCTCATAGGATAATGTTAAAATTTCTTGTGTACTTCAATTTGACATTCTGTAGAAAAAGGTTGGTTTTGCTGAAGTATAAACCAATTAAAAGTTAATGCTGTTTTCCACTGGGCACCCATGCTAAACTAGAATGCTCATGTATTTTGTGTGTATGCTTATGTAATTAAGCATCCACTAATTTCTTTCTCTTTGGGAAATACTTCTGCAAATCAGCACTCCATATATGAAGAGTTAAGATCGTATCATCTGTTGTTTAAGGTAGGGATAAGGATAGACATTATTATTATTTCATAATAGATTCTTAATCCTTTGTTCTGTGAAGTGTTGACATTTTCATTAGAGTTAAAATATGTTGCATGTTTACAGAAAGCCTGAAATCTCCATATGTGGTCCTATCTATTTTAATTATTTGAATCATTAGAACATCTAAATTTTTGCTTAAGGGTACATGAATGTACCACTGAATCTGTTTTTTAAGTTTTTTTCCAGTTTAATGTCTGAATCCAAATTCATAAAGAGTTGGAAAAATGAGATGTCTGAGCTATAGGATTCACAGGGATTTTATATGAAGCCTATTTAATCAGGATAACACTGTTATTAATATTCATAAAGTCAGCTGGAACACAAATGACAGGCAGTGGAGCCTAAAATTTTTTACTTGTGAATTTATTAAAAGCAGCTTAAAAAATTAATGGAATTTAAGTAAAGTTGACAAAAATGAAAATCTTATGTTAGCAGAAAAAATCTTTATTGGAACTTTCTCTAAGACCATCTTGCATTGATATCTTTGACAGATTTCTTTGGTACTTACAGAAGAAAGATGCATGAATGGTCATTTAAAAGGATTTAAACACATCGGCACATTAATTTTTACATGAATAATAAGTAGTTTCCGAAAGCAATTAACTTGCAGTGTACAAGATTTGAATAGAAAAATAGGACTATGACATGAAAGGGCAAAGCAAATGTGCTGTACATTTTAAACTTTTAATAATATGACTTCTTAAAATAATTTATTTCATTTCCACAGTAGGTAAAGAAACAGTGAAGGTATTTGTGTACCACTTGGGTTTGTTTTGAAATACACAGAGATCTGGGACAAAGAAATATTTTTATGTCAAAGGGCTGTTGGTAAAGAACATTTTCAGGTTTTTACAGTGATCAGGTGCTTTTGAATCAAGCTTTCTTACAGGCAGTTTATCTGTGTGGAGAATAGTCATATACTGACCACAGCATGTGATTTTTCTCCCATGCTTCTGTATGCAGCACTGGGAAGTATTTGTTATTTCTGTAGAGTGTTAAAACAGGTACATCTGGGGTTTCTTTCATTAGTAGGAACATACTGGATAATTTATATTCATATTTGTAGGTGGTTTGTGCTTAAATATTTAGTGTGAATTTTACGTTGTTATTGCGTATTCTACAGATAAGGACAAATGTATTTTATTTTATTTTTAGCTTTGTGTGTTGTTCAAGCAGTAGTCTTAACACTAACACACGTTGAATAAATAGTGCATAAGGAAATAATCTCTAGATCTAAAATTAACTCTAAGTTTTGGGTTACAATTTCATTTTCTTATTTTCAGTTTTGTCTCCATCTACCAGTATATTTTATTTTAATCTCTAGCCTTAATTTCTTTTGATTATTAGATAGATTGAATATTGACAGAGTTTTCAAATGAAGGTAAAGCTTTAAAATAATTGTTTTTAATTTTTCTGATGATTCATCCTGGTAAAACCTTCATGGCCAGGCTCTGATTGTTGTTGATGAGGCAAAGTTTAAGTCTGCCTGAATAATTATGGTTCAATAAGTTTTGGTTCTAAAAATATCTTGCGTTTAAAGTACCTACTGTGAAAGTACATTGTGAATGATATCTAAGTGTTGTGCATAAGTTAGATACCTATTGCAGCGTTTGTGTTCAGAAAATGCGATTTGCATGCTTCGTATATGGAATATTTTGTTGTTCTGTTTACCAACTGTGTTTTTATTTATTTTTTTTTTTTTACTACTGTGGAAAAATTACTGCAAACCCGAGGGAGCCCCCAAAAGTTTCTCTTTTTTAATTTGATCGTTAGGTTGTTTTAATCTGATAACAACAATGTTTTTATTTTCTGTATATGTAAACCAAAAAATTCCATTAATTAGCAGAACATATTTCATCTATGAAGACAAAGTCTGTAAAATAAGCCTCTTGACAGAATTCTGCCTCCAATCATTCCTGTGCCATAGTCTATTACTGCCAGGAGAGGGCAGCATTCTCCCACGTGAGGTACATGCCCTGCTTAGACTGTCAATGTTTCGTGTAATTACTCCCAGTATATTTGTTGCTTGCTTATGAATTAACTTGCATTTATGGAACTAAATCATTCCAATCATTTAATTACACCTGAGGAGCTGAACTATAATTGCTTGCTTCCAACTAGGATCTGATATGGCTTGAGCAGTATTAATTTGGTGTTTACTTTTCTGAGTGCTAAAAGCATTAAAATGATTGTGCAATGGGATTACATTTTACTAATTGCTGGCATTCATTAGCTGGGTAAATGGCGAGGAAGTATGACTGTATATTGTGGAGGGATAAAATTATGGTTTTAAATAGTATATTACTAGGCACATTAAGGCCCTAAGACATGTTTTAAAATACTCCAGAGGTTATTAAATACCATATTTTCTTCATGTCTTGCTATATGAATATCTTATTAAAATACTTCAATTATTATGAACCTTTTTGTGCAATATGTAGGGAAATGGCTTCATTGACAGAAACCTATTTCTTGATATTAATAACCTTCTATATTTTCAGCTAATCCAAAAGTAAATGAGGAACTTAGGAAAAGATTGCCAACTCCAAATCAACACAGTTACACAGAATTGAAAAAGAAACGTACAGCTTCATTTGAGGGATTCTTGTAAGGAGCTCAGAGTTCTGCGTTATGAGGTGAAGTTGTTATTTTTTTTGTTAAGACCTAAGGATGTCAAATCATGCGTATTTGTTTTTTATCATGCATATTTATAGTCAACAGCCCATATGAGCTAAATGTGTATTTCTTGAATGCTTACTATGTTAGGGTTGAATCTTAAGTGCTTGCACAATTATATTTTTGGATTGGTTTGGTTTTTAGAGTCTCAAAGATAAAAATGAAAACATCTGCCTTTTTGGTGCTGTATAGAAAAAGAATTTCGTCTGCTGCATTAGTCGTTAGAACATATGTCTTGGTATAATATGCTTGAATTTTAAAGTGTGTACTTAATTCAGTTGTTTTTTTTTTTAACCTTTACGTTTATCAGCACAACTGTAGGTATTTTCATGATCCAGCCACTGCTGCTTCAAGGCACATATTGTATCTTTTTAATAAACGTAGAAAAAATATAGCAGTGAAAACATACAAAATAAGCATAACTATATAGTTAAAGATGAAAAATTGTCCTTCATACAATACATTTTAAAACAGGTACTGGAGTAAATAATAAAATTTGTGGTAAACTTACTGTATTAGTAATTACAAATTGACCTAGATTTCCTTGTGATATAGTATATAGCTCAGTTTTTAATGTATGAGAGCATATGTTTTAAACCGAAAATGCTACCCAATGAGCATAAAATTTTACTGTACATCTTATTTTTGAGTATTGAGGGTTGTTTCTTGAACATCTTTGATTATATGAAATATTGCAACTGTGTGATTAACTGTATGGTCTGAAGCAATATGTATGCAAATATTAAGATTGATTATTTAGTGCTTAGAAAAACCTGCAGATTCAGAGTTGGAGTGGTCATGGGCTGCTTTACCTGTATTTAATACAGGAAATTAAAGCAGGAGAAAGAATGTCATAAAGTGCATACAACCATCTGTAATAATTACTAAAGAAAGCAGTCTTGTTGCCTCTAGTGCGACCACTCAGTGTGATTTGGGCTGTGCTCAGTAGCATGCACTTCCAAGATCAGACTCTAGAACAAGACAAACTAATAGATTTTTCAATTAAGATGTTACATGCAACAGAAAGCTGAACCAAACCATTATAAAAATTACATAGATATGTGGACAAAAAATATTTTACTGAGAAATAAGATTTAGTACTGACTATTAAAGTATACAGAGTTTATTGTCCTGCTATATATATTTTTAAATCATTTGTCTTGCAAATTTTCTGTCAAACGAAGGCAAAGTATAGGTGTGTTGTATTGTTTCAAGTTTATTTATCTAGAGTTTGCTTTATTTTAGCTCTGAAACGTTTAAGCAAAAACTGGACTCAGTGCCAGATCAAACAAGTTCAGAAGAACAAATGGAGAACTGGTCAAACGGTAAGGACTTTTAAGATATTAATAGGGAACTTCAGGTGTTCTACCAGTGCTAGGCAGTGACTGGAATGTATTTGTTCTTGCCGATATATATGACTAACTTTGGAAGAAAAGAAAAAAAACTACCATACACTCCATTTTAAGTATTTGGGGTAACAGGAGAGCAGCTACAGGAATGTAAATCATCAGCTTGATTTTTATTTTCTAGGTTGTTGAATTTTTTTTATAACTTTGAGAAATCTTAAATTAATTTAAATTCTTATTCTGTACATTGTGCTTTCCCATCTTTTTTCCTTAATAGGTTAACAAATCCAAAGTCTGTATTAAAGTAACTTTCTTGCTATTTACGCCTTGCTAGAATATGATTAAGCCATCTAATACTTTTAATGAGTTTCTCATTATTACTTCAGCTGAATATAGAGAGTAAGGCAGGCTTTTTGGTAAAGGGGGCCTTGGTTAACTTGGAATTTCCATGGTTCATGGAGTTTTCGTCTGTATCAGGATGGAAGAGTCTACTTCGTATTTTGATGACCAAAATTTTGCTCTCAGATACATTTTTCTCTGTTTCATGGCAGAAACTTCAAAAAAACCCAAAAGCACTGACTTTGGGAACACATTATGTGACTGACTGATTTTACAGAAGGGAATCCAGAAAGTAGCTTGTAGCTAGATAATAATATGTAGGCTGAAGAAGGAGAACAACACGAGGAAGCAGACTTTCAGCAGTGGTTTGTGTTTGTTTTTTTTTCAGTAAGTGGCTATTTGTAGGTTTAAAAAACAAACAAACAAAAGGAATAGGTGTGTCAATGTCAAATATGCCTCCTGTATTAGAGTCTGATAACATCTTGTATATTTCCGTGTTTTGAATTTTATACTATGTGTTCTTTCTTAAAACATAATAAATGTTAATATTCTCATGAAAACTGTTCTTTAGCAGAAAGAAAAACCACTCTGTCTTGGAGATGATGAATTTCCTACATATGTAAAGGAATTTCTATCTGTATTACTATGTATAATGAAGTACTTGTAGACCCCGTTTCACAGATTTTGAGCTATTACTCAGTGAAGTCAAAAATATTTTTTTAGTCATATACTCTGAAAGTAAAAATAGTCATGGTGGAGTAACTCAGTGCAGAATTGTACTCTCTCAATTTATACTTTTAAAATGTGTAATGGCTTAATCATATTCAGCATTTTTAGACCTTTAGGGGTCAGCATACCCTCAGAATGGTTCAAAAGGTTAACTTTTCCATAGTAGGATAGTGAATATCATAAACTGATTCTCTGTGAATTACTCTCTGTTTAATTGCAAGAAATGGCATTCTGCTGCTGCTCACAGATATTTTGTAAAAGGGGTAGATACTGAGTTTCGGGTGTATTATTTTTTTCTGATGCTTGAGGTTAATATTTTGTGCTTTTTAGAAAGCTGTTTATTCCAAGCTAACACATATTTGTCTCTCCAATAATAGTTGTTATATGGGCAAAATGAAGATTGTACACTTTTTTTAGATCAGTTATTGATGGGTCACAAAATTCTTTATGCTTTTATTCCTAGGGAAGTTAAAAAAGGGGATTATGGATAAATCTCATGTCATCATAGTGGTCTGTATGAGACTTCTTTTCTTTTTCCTTAGAATTTTATTTGGGTATTAGCAGTTAAATTATATTTTCTTATCATAAAGATAATAGATAAATTACAACAACATAATATTCAATATGTGCTCTTGGTAGACATTCTGGTGCGTGTTCTTATTGAACTATATTGAACTAAATCAAAGTAACTTTTAGTCTTCTGTTTAAATGTCTGTATTGAAGCATGTACCACTTTGTGTTCCGCTTGCTTTGTCGTCCATATTATCTTCCCTTTTTGCAGCTGGTACTGTACTGTACTTAGTTGTTCCTCACTTGGATGTTTAAAAGCTGTTTTTAAAATAACTCTGTGATGACTGTGATGACTTTGATTTTATTATTTCTTTTTTGTAACATACTGAAATATCAGAGATTAAATTATTTGTCAAAAAATAAGGATGGTAAAACATGGCTGAGGTTAAGTTCAGCTGACTAGATGAAAATTCAGTCCAGCAATGAGAATTAAAAAAAAAAAAGAAAAAGAAAAACAACCAAAAAAAAACAGCAAAAAATGTTAGGTGCAGAGAAGTGGTACGTTTATGTCAGTTATGTGGGATAATATGTAACCTGTTAAAAGTTGTTATGAAAGAGTATAGTTGTTTAAAAAAAGTATATCTGAAGTGTTTGATACTTGAAATTTTCTTTTAACTTTCTGTGTTGTTTGGAATGTCATATGCCTGTGTGGATTGAAGACATTTGTTTCTGGTCTGGTATTTTAGGAAGAGGTAAAGAACATTCTGTTTGCAAGGCTAGTTATTTTGGGTTTGTACCTAATTTAAATGTGCTGTTTATCTCCACAGCACCTAGTTTTTAATAGGAGGATAGAGACTTTTAATTTCTTTCTAAGAATACTTGAGAGAATGTATCAGGAGCATGGGCAGCAGGCCAGTGAAGTCTCTGTAATTTCCAGATGAAAAATATTCAGGATCCAAGCTAGAAAGTCTAGGAAGATAGTCCATTATAAAAATAAACTTGTATTAGCAAATGGGTGCATATCTTTGTATTGCAGTGGTAGTGTGGGGGAAGAACATTGCACCTGGGTGGATTTGATACTTAAGCAGGGTTTACATGCATGATAAGAACTACCACATTAATACTGCGAAAACACGAGGGAATCTGAAATTGGGTGCCTTTCATACCTGTATATACATTCAGGACTCGATATGTCAATTTTCCAAAAGAGTTGGTAGGATAGGAAAGTGGTGAGTGTTGCAAATACCGGAGTTCAATTTGTGTATCATTTGACACATATCATGTACTGTGTTGAATGGGTGCAGCGGTACTTCTGCATTACATAGTCTTTCATTATTGTAATGTTTTTCCTTGTGTCATCAATTTTTTTTGAGCATCTGTTGTATTCAAAGACAGAGCAGAAATTAGGTAAAGTCTTAGAATATCAATGACTGGTCAGTCTATTTTGACAACAAAATTATAATTTTACTGATTCCATAATGAAAAGCATAGTATAATTATTATTTGGACTGTCCTAAAGCAAGATAATAGATTATTTTTAATGGCAAAGTGTTTTGTTCCTTAGAAGGTGGTTATTACATTTTTTTCAAGTATAGAAATAGGGAAATACTTATTTCTAAAACATTAAAGCCTGTATTAAAATGTAAGTCAATGAACCAATCTCACCTGTAAGAACTTGATGTCAGCTCTTAGTTATGATCCATAGAGGCACTGTCACTGTAACTTGCCTTTGAAAGAATATTTGTGCACCTTGTAAAAATACTTTTAAATTGCTTGTCTGGAAGCTGTCATTCAGAAGAGACTCTAGCTTTAAAGAGATGTGATAGTGTAGATTGAAACAGAACTGCAGAATCAGCTTGTGGAGGGAAATCTGAAAAGTAAGTGTTTTATCTTGTGGTGAGCTGTTGCTTTACAGTCTTTCATCAGGAAAAATAGAAAAGGAAAACATATATGAATGTACAAGTTATGTACATATAGCTGCTCAGACAATTGTGCATGTGATAAGCTTATGTGTAGATAAATGTCTTAATTGCATTGTGTGTTTCTGCATGCATTGGTCTTGCATGAATGCATGGTGCTTACTGTTGAGAATCTGGCCATAGCTTTCCTTGTATTGTCATGGTCATGACCATGTATATGTCAGTGTATTGCTTACACAAATATTTTAGTTCTTATGTCATGTAGTCAATAATATTCAGGAACTAAAACCTCTCTAGAAATATTTTTACATTTACTTACTCCCATTTAGAAATTCCATTATCAGCTGTCCCTTCTGCTTTCATGGTAAGTGAGGCAGTGTACAGGCAATGAGACATATGCGTAGCTTCAGTAAAATGCATCAACTTTTCTTGCTAACTTCCTAGAAATGGAGCTCCTGCTCTTCACCATGTATTTTTAGACTATCTTATTAGAAGCGGTGAGGTTTTGTAGTTCTGTGATGATTTTAATGTACTTTGTGGGTTTGGTTTTGTAGTACTAATTACAAGGGCTTTTTGCATGGAATTACTGTTGTGTGACTTTAACAGATGTACTAACGCACATACATACAGAAAGATGAGAGGGTAAAGGAGGCTTTGAGAGTAATGCAGTGTTGTAAAGATTTTCCATCTGATGCTTTAGTTGGGTCTAAAAGCAACTGATTGTAAAGGTTCTGCTTCCCGTTTCGCCAAAATTCATCAGTTACAGATGTAAACTCTCTAAATCTGAAGCCTTTCCTCCAAGGCTACAGTAAAGGCAAAATGAACCATACTTGCCATATTGAAGTCTCTCTTCTTTTACATGCCTCAACAGGAGATACTGTGAGGCTGTTCTTTCTCTTTCCCTTTTTAGCAATACAGAGTGCTGTTTACCTGGAAAAGAAAGAAGACCTGGATGTTGCATGGATGTGTATGCAGAAAAATCTTACGATATGCAGAGAGGCAGAGTCCTCTCCATCCATGTGGCTCAGTTGATACGTCTCCCACGTATGCTGTGCTTGCAGCCTCAAACTCGGAGCGTGTTAGCTGTCAGACATACACTTGCAAAGTGGCAAGGGTAGTTGCAGGTTTCTGTGCACAGTACAGGAGGCAGAAGAGCGGTTGAAAGGGTGGTCTCGCATGAGTCAAATATAAGAAGAATGGCTGTCTCTCCTTTCTCCATCCCATTTCTTTCCTTGTACATTTTGAATGGCTAAATACAGTGCATTTCTGGCTGGGCCACAGGCAGCCTCAGCAGAAGCACAATTAGGTATCCAGTATCTGCATGACATTTGAGTGTTGTGAATATGATTTTGTCAGAACCTTCATGGTATACTGAAAATGTGTAGTGCCTTATCTGCACTGAGTACTGCAAGCACTAACAACGGGGAGAATGTACGCCTTGAAGTATTGCACGTTGAATTGCTGAAGTGTTTGAAGTATGAG